ATGGGAAGCTGGTAAAGTAGCCATTTCTTCTCTCAGGCAGCCCCAGGACAATTTGAAAATAGTTTTACTCCTTCCTCCTGCATAATGCCTTCCAGACATGGAGGAATTGTGTAGAGACTGCAGTAGCCATTGCCCAAAGAAAACTTCCCATTCTGTCTGTGTCGTTGTGTACTTTATAACAAAGGATAATGGCCTATTCCCTACCTTCCCATTCTAAGAGCTTAGAACATCAATGCACAAACCCTCCTCTTCCCAGAGCTGGCTACAACTGATGTGGAGGCACCCAAGCAAGTACTTCTCCAAATCCACCCCCCTATCCACCTCCAGTGGTCTCATTTTCCTAATTCAGTGGTTCTCGAAGTGTGGTCATCAGAACTGCAGCATCAGCTTCACCTGGGAACTTGTTAACACCATCACGTTGGGTATCTGCTTCTAACACATAACTATGGGGAAAACAGAGATATTCAAACCACAGCAGCTACACTGAAAGACTGGGAAGTTCATCTCCATCTCTACCAAGGAAGAGTATCAAGGATGGAGGTAGATGTTAAAACCATTAATTAATTAATATGTATTTGGGTTGGGTGATAGTCAGTTCCTCCTTATTTCTCACGCTGAGTTTAGCTCTCATCAGTGAATCTTGTAAGCTGCACCTGTTGTAATGTTCTAGTGATGGTCTCTTCCCCCCTTATTTCCTCTGCACTTTCTATTTGGAATTGTTTTGCAAGGAAGTGTTGTTCCTCTTTTCTCATGCATTTACTTGCTCATTCTGACATTTATTTATAGTGATATAGATTCATGGATTCTTTGACAGATTTTATTCTTTGGATAATAATTCAATGGTATCATCATTTTATTGTTCATAGTGATTTGGGTGATTTAGCTTTTCTCATTGGAAACTGTCAGGTTGGCTCCTGTGTTCATTTGATACACACCTAACATTTCCTTTTTATTATTTTTTGCACACTTATTTTTTGACACTAAATGATGATCCATGCTAAATCTTGTCTGTGCCTTGCCCTAGTCTTAGAATCAGCCATTTTTCAAAGGAAACCTGGTTTATTGTGTTGAAAGATGGTGTTTCAAAACCAACAACTGGGCATGAAGTACGTTCATGGTTATGAGGTATCATTGCCTGTACGTCCTCTCTGGAAATGTGGTACAGCATGCTTATGTATATGTGCAAGCATGTCTTCCTTTCTCATAATCTGAGTTTATATTAATGTTTCAGACTACAATTAAGCAGCACATGGTTCATTCTATCTCACCCCTTTGTTTATGTGTGAAACTCTTTTTCTGATAGAAAATTGGCTCCATTATTTAGTTTATTTACTTTGTTCATCTCATGGGAAGCAGTTTGAGAATTGCTAATCTGTATCCCTGTAAAAATTATGTCAGAGTACTATAGAATTCCAATCAAAACACCCTTTATAAAAGTTTTCTTAGTCAACTCCTTTTCTACATGTCATCTTTAGGGAGATGTCCTCATACAACCAAACAGAGTAAGATTCTTTGTCACAGTCAGCATGGATACCCTGGTTGATTTTTTTTAAGCATGTACGGTAAACTTCTGCCATTGGTGTTTATTATTCTTAAGGTACGTAAATACATTTTTGTCTCTAAAAGTCACAGAAATTTACTATGAATTTAGTAATGTCACAGTTCATATCAGTGACTAATAGAGTAGATAAACTGCTTGCATATAGTCATAGCTTTTATATCACTAAGAATAAAGGAAACAGTAGACCCTGGTCTCCTTTCTCTAAGTCAAACTACATATCAGTTTCTTTTCACTTTACATCCATTATAGAGATTATGAAATGGACCAACCATTTGAATCAAGTCCTACTCCTTTCTACTCTTACTAAAGGAAATGGAGTTCAGGCACTTTACTTAGCATAAACCTTCTCTAGCCTGTCATTTTATGTTGTTTTACTTCCCACATTATATTTGCCTTCTAAATATAACAAACACTACTACTTAGAATTTAGCAAACATCAAAGTAACTGAAATTAATTTGGAACCACACAATTTTAATGAAAAGAAGACAAAGTAGTAGCAGATCTCTCATTTAATCTTGAGGTATCTCCTGCTCCAGAAGCAGTTCTGCTCCAGAGGCTGGTTCTGGAGCTGCATCTTGCCCAGATATCAAGATTGCTGTTGTCAGCCAAGTTCTCTTAGAATTTCTTCAGGTCTGGCTGGTGCTTCTGCTCCATTTTAGTCTTGAGGTGGACTGGGTATAGGAACACTGCTTTCTTTTCTTCTTGTCATTCTTGGGGACTGAGTTTTTCATGACCAGGAGGCAGGCTTATAGCTCTTGGTTCGGAAGGTGGAGCCATGTCACCCACTCGTGTTCACTCTGCAGCCCTTCCAGGATGTCTAATGACAGGTGGGTATCAAATATTGAAATATTGGCCATAACTCAGACTAACAGGTCAAGCCACCTAATAGGGCACAGATCCTCAGCCTGCCCTACTCACTGCTCTATGTCCCTGTCTTTTTTCATTTTTTCCGCATTAACTTTTCAGGTTTAATTATGTAATATTCACCTCATAAGAATGAATTATATCATTTCCTCTTTTATTTCTTACAGGAAATTATGTAGATTGTTATATTTCTTTCTTCTTCATTGATTGGTAGAATTCCTGAGGGAAACCATTTGAGCCTTTATCTTTCTTTTTTGGAAGCTTTGGAAGCTCTGAACTTGGCATTTTTAGTTTATGTAGGTCTTTCAAATTATTCTTCATTCCATTTTGGTAATTTGCATTTTTTGGAGAATTCTTCCATTCTATTGATGTAATTGAATTTATTGGCATAAAGTTGTTCTTCATACCCTGTATTACTTCTTAATAGCCCTGGGTGGGATCAGCACTGTTAGACCTGTGTCATTCTTCATATAATCATTTGAGCCTTTTCCCTTTCTGGTCAGCCAGCTAAAGGTTTCTCAGTTTTTATTGATCTTTTCAGAAGAGTACCTTTTGACTACATTGCTTTTCTCTATTATTTTTGTTTACAAATTCATGATGTTTTTTGCTTTAGTATTTATTGTGTCTTTCTGCTCTTTTAAAACTATATTTATTCAGCTGTTTCTTCTTAATATAGAAGCTTATGTTGGTTGCTGATTTAAGATGTTTCTTATTTTCTAATATAAACATATAATATGACTTCCTTCTAAATACTGTTAGAGCTATAATCTATGAATTTTGATATACTGTAGCTTCATTCTCTTTTAGTTCAATATATTCTTTAATTTCTTTTGAAACTTTTCCTTGGATCCATAGGTTATTTAGAAGAATATTGGTTAAGACAGGGGCCAGTGACTCAGGCCTGTAATCCTAGCTACTTGGGAGAGTGAGATTGGGAGAATCAAGTTTCTTGAGGCCAGCCTAGACAAAAAGTTCATGAGACCCCCAACTTCAACTAACAGATGAGCATGGTGGTGTGTGCCTGTCATCCAAGTTATCACCAGAAGCATAAATAGGAAGATTACAGTGCAAGTCGACCTCGGCAAAAAGCAACACCCTACCTAAAAAAAAAAAAAGAGAAAGAGAAAAAAAATAAAAAGGGCTGGAGGCATGGCTAATGTGGTGAAGGACCTGCCTAGCAAGAGTGAATCCCTGAGTTCAAACCCCAGTACTGCCAAAACAATAAAAATGTATGTTATGTTGTTCAATTTCCATATCTTTGGATTTTCTTCTTAACTTTTTATTGTTTCCTAGTCTCACTATTATGGTCCAAGATATTTTGTATGATTTTCATGGTTTTTAATTGATTTTTTCTTTAATGACTTTCATATAGTCAATCTTAATGAATGCTCACTTTGCACTTGAAAAGAGCATGTGCTCTTTTGTCATTGTGTGAATGGTTCTAGAAATGTCAGTTAGGTAATGTTGGTTGATGTGCTTTTTATGCACATTGCAGTTTGAGAGCTACTTACAGAGAACTAATAGTAATTGAAATGAAAGTATAATGGAGGTTTAATCTTGGATTAGAGTTCACATTTTTCTGTGTGTTTGTAAACCTAGTAATGTTCACCCAGTTGTCTACATCGTCGGTGTAAACTAGTTGATTACAGATATGTCCCGAATGCATTACAGGAAAAGCAAGAAAATTCCTCCTGTCTGCCCCTGAATCTTTTGCCCTTTGGCTACTCTTCGTAATGTTTTCATACAAGCAGGCTCTCTACCCCTTTTACCTGCACCAGCCTTTCTCAAAATGTGTTCTGCAAAATGCTAGACATAAACAACTACCAAGCAAGAGGTGGAATAAGATGAAGCCCACTAATTGCTTAGTGACCTGCCACACATTTCCCCCACCTTGAAATTAATAATGAGTACATAGTGACTAGGAAGTGTGGAAGTCTAGTTATTTCTCCTTTTCCCTACGATACCATGGGTAACACTAAGTACCTTACATTAAGGGGATAAAATGAGGTAAAACATGTAACACACTTAATGACATGGGCACAAAGCACGTGTGGTCATTAAATGTCACTGTGATTTATGATAGCTGATGTTCTTTTTGCTGTTTTCTGTATTTGTTGGTTTTACTTCATTGGAGTGGTGCTTTGAAAGATAAGATTGGTATGAAAGGAAAAAACAATTTCCTGGGAATCTAAGACCAGAGGTAAACATGAGCTTTAGCTATTCCAGTTTCTTTATCATTTTATTGTAGTAATTACATTCATTTAAACACCTCCAACACACCCACTATATCATCCAAACTAAGCCTACCTTCTCAGAATCAATTCCACTGGCATTTCTGGGGGGAGAATTAGACATTTGTAAGTGTGTTGCAAAGAGGATGAGTCTGTGATGTTCTGTGTGAAATTCATGAACTATGGATCAGCCTGAAGTCTTATGCCTTCCTGAGCCAGTAACATCACTAAGAAATGCTATGAACTCAGAATTCAAAATACCTTGCTCCCCATCTACCTTCCCTGGTTCCTTCGGTATCTGTGTGGGAACTTTATTGACTCTCTGCTTTCTTTTCATGAACAGGTGGGCTCTGCATTGCCCAGTCCGTGAGAATCCCCCAAGAGCGCAAAGATAGGACCATTGACTTCGACAGAATTATCAAACAGCTCCTGGACACCCCCAACTCCAGGGCCGTCGTGATTTTTGCCAACGATGAGGATATAAAGTAAGGATGACTGGTGATATTTGTTAATGTGCATGTTGCAGCTTTACGAGCCAGAAAGACCAGGATGCTTGCAGAGAAAGATGGCATGGGATCAAAGGCATAACTACCTAGGGTCAAAATCTTACATGGTTCTACCTCACCACAGGTAGTTAACATCAACACAAAAGTAGCAGCCAGCATGTTGTTGTCATGTACTTTTTCTATTCAAAAATAAATATATTCAAGTTTTGGTAAAAAGAAACAAACACTAGACCTTTTAACTTGGAGTCTATTAAAACTCTATCTAAATATAGCCTGCTTTAATCCAAAAAATGGTTCCTGTTAATATGCAAGAAAAAGGTCATAATTCTGACTTTATTGCCTGTGTCTGAAACTCAGAAGTATGTTCAAAGCTAAACTTGTCATACCTCTACATTCTCTAATGTACTATGTCCTTTTACTTTGCTTACCTTATCTCCCTTGAACTAAAAAATATGAGCCCCTTCCTTCCTACTTCCTGGCATTCTTAGTCAAGCCATAGAGCTACCCTTTGAAATGTTTCTAGAACTTGTATGTTTCCTGTTTCCTTTCCTGACCACTACCAATCTGATCCAGAATTTTTATTTTTATCTTGTTAGAATAAATGGTAATTACATCTGATTTTAAAAAAAAAAAAGCAAAAGTATCCAGGCTAAAAAAAATGCTATCCTTCCTGTCTCCTAGCTAACAAGTTGTCCTCTCTAGGGAGAATGGCTTATTACTAGTCTCTTGTATGTGACTCTGTAGACATTCTGTATTTGTGTTTCCCTGTTTTTAAACATAATATGCATACTTGGTGTGCATTTTCTGCACCTTGCTTGTCTTAGTATTTTATCATGGAGGACCCTGAATATAATCTCTAGGTAGGAGGACCACTACCTACAGACCTGTTCAGAATTTTGATAGCCATGCAGAGTTCCATTTTACATATGTACTAAAATTTATCTACTCCCTTGTTGATTGACATTTAATTTGATCACACACTTTTACAGTTGCAATTAATGCTGCAATAAGCTCCCTTCACCACAAATTTGTATACATAAATATAAATGTAGTGGCATGTAATATTTATGTGCAATATATAAATAAATACATAAGTATATATTAATAGAAAACAAATATATAATACTCAAATACCCTATATATTAGTCTTAAGAGAATTGATAAGCTAAATTCCTACAAAGTGCTAAGGCAAAGATGTGTCCTTTGTTTAAAGATATGAATACTGACTGTCTCCCAGAGTGTATCAGTTTATACTTGTTTTAAGTCTTTGTCTGTCTGTAGCTCAAGATCATTTGCCTGTGATTTTGAAAGTGAATATGTTTTATTGGGTGACATTGAAAGACCCAGACTATTATTAAATCTTCTTTAGATTTTTGCACAGTGATTATTATCAGCCTCACTTTCTTGTATCTTTCTCTGCTCGATGTATTCTGCACGACAACCTGAATCCACCATCATCCCAGTCTAAAGCTCTGATCATAGGTGCATGGCAGGACTGGTAAATGCAAAAGCATTGAACTTGTACTTGAGAATATTTTGCTTCTTAGATGAACACTGCCTCTTCTTGGACAAATTCTCCCCAGAGACTACCAACTTCTTTGGACCTCAGTCAGTTCTTCCATCAGAAACGAAAATCCTTGAGCTGTCCTTAGGGAGATCTGGCTTTTGCTGCTGTTGTAACATTTCATTCCAAATGCCCTCACATGTTGTGTACAGCAGGCCCAGGGTCTGTTTCTGTCTCATGCCTTCTCTTCCACCTACCTACAATGGAATTGCTGGATCATATGGCAATTCTATTTTTAGTTTTTTGAGGGGCCCCCATACTCTTTTCCTAGTGGTTATACTAATTTACATTCCCACCAGTAGTGTATAAGAGCTCCTCCCCCCACACATCCTCACCAACATCTGTTGTTATTTGTGTTCTTGATAGTAGCCATTCTAACAGGAGTGAGGTAAAATCTTAATATGGCTTTGATTTGTATTTCTTTTATGGGCAGGGATGTCAAATATTTCTTCATGTATTTTATGGCCATTTGGACTTCTTCCTTTGAAAAAGCTCTTTTAAGTTTACCTGCCCATTTCTTCACTGGGTCATAGATTCTTTAGGAATTTCATTTTTGGATCTCCCTATAATTTCTGGTTATTAAACCCTTGTCAAATGTATAGGTGGGAAAGATTCCTTCCCATTCTGTGGGCTGCCTCTCCAGTCTAGTGACCATTTTCTTTGGTGTGAAGATGCTTTTTAGTTTCACAAATACACTGCTTGATCATCTCAGAAATTCTTCTCATACTTACTTTGCACATTTGCTAGCAATGTAACACATGAGTAACGTATGTCCATAGCACATACAGATGATGACCTTCAGCTAGCTCAGGCGATGGATAGTTACAATACTTTTGACCTGCAGGTAGTATGTGCTTTTAATTTTGGATGTAAAATGTATGTAATCCATTCAATAATTATGTATATTCTTTTTTAAGTTGGGGTGTAGTTGTGTGTTCAATGTTATTATATATTGTGATTCATAGTATAGTGACAACAGTAACAGTTTTTGAGCACAGCAATAAAAGGCAAATGCATCTGTTTCTTCTAAAATGTGATCTTGAAAGCATGGATGTCTGAAGAGTACAGATAACCTCAACACTATGCTTTTTCTCTTTTCAGAAGATTTACACTTAGATGGGAAGTTTTGAGATTTCTTGGAACATTAACTTCAAATATTTCATCAGAGACTACTAGTGAGAATACATTAATATCTAGATTTTGGAGCTAAGTAGTCAGTCATGGGTATTGATAATTTGGATTTCAGGAAAGAGGAAAATCTCTTTTTGAAACACTATTCTGATTATAAAAGTAATCCACAGCCATTGTAAATTCATTGGCAAAGAAAAGCATTCTTTGTTTTAAAAGAAATGAATCCCTTAAATTTTGCTTTGGCTCCAATTGTCTAGAAAAATTAAGTTATAGAAAATGACCATAAAAATAGTTTAAAATAATATCTTATACACTGTGCAATTTCAACACTCAGAGATAATAATTAATAAAATTCCAGTTTGATGTTGCCATTTCTTTTTTACACATTTTTTAGCAGAATGAAGATCACATGGAATTTTACATGTAACCTTTTGCTATTTGTAGTATAGCTTAATTATTTTTTCATACCCTAAGTATTTTAAGTGGTTTAATCATTTTATCATAAGAATTAAACCCAAATTCTTTCATTATTATAATTATTGTTGTACTGGGAGTACATTGTTACATTTGTAAAAATTCTTATAATATATCTTACTTGTATTCATCCCCTCTATCACTCTCCATTATCCCTCCTCTTCCCATTTGTAGAATATTTCAACAGGTCTCATTTTTCCATTTTCATATACAAGTGCACAATATTTCCCCTATATTCAGCCTCCGTCACCCTTTCCTTATATCTTACCTAAATATATTAGATTCAAAATGTGGTTTTTGTGTTTATGTCTATTTTTGTCTTTCACTATTTCCTTGACTTCTCCCAAAGTTTTCTTTCTTCTTCAGACTTCATTAACATCTCTCCAGTCTTGTTCATAACAAGTGATTATCTCTTACATACTCTGCTATAAGTGTATATTTTCACTATGTGTATATACAGATATATACACAAATATATGGACATACACACACATACACACAATATATACATAGGCAATTATTGAACATTTTCATTACAAATAAGTAAAAAGTCTTTAATTTTTTTTTAAATTCTTTTTTCTATTTTAAGAAAATCTTGTGGTAATCAAACTAAATATATTTTTAATTCCTCTTTAATTCATCATTTGGACATACCATCTTTTGTGTAACTGATTTCCTCAGTATTTTGATAGCTTCTTTTTCCTTTCCTTGGAATGGACTAGTTGAAATTGTATTCCTAAGTCAAATATATATATATATATATATATATGTTTATAATTTATATGTATATAAATATATTTTATATATTTGTTGTACTGGAGATTGAGCCCAGGGCTTCACATCTGCTAGGCAAGTGATCTATCACTTGAGCCATACAGCCAGCCCCCCAAAGTGTTTTATTTTTATGAAAATGATAAATAATCATATTTAATTGAGAACAAATCATGACTTAGCCTCTTTTACTCAAAGATTATGGAGGCCCACCCCTTCATAATCTCCAGGTCTCTTCTCTTTGGGCAGCTATTTTAGCTCTTTAAGCAATTTCTTCTGGTTTTATCTGCCTAAAGAACAGACATGGCAATTTTGGAAAATGAATTTGAAATATTGTCTGTTCTTCTGCTAGGTAGAATTTGGATCACTTAGTTCACCCGTACCATATCCTACCAACACGCTTCTATCAAGTTTTTATTTCCTTAAATAAATGTTTGAATTACAATTATACAAATATCTTGCACTACAGCATCGAGTATGTCTTTTCTCTTTTCTGAGCAACCTTTCTTTTATCCTGGAGTTATTATGACTACTTGCATAGTTATCTTTACTATTTCATCTATTAATGTTATAGGACCATCACAGGACTATGTGCTAATATATAAAATAATCTAAGTTTCATTATTTCTCCAGGATCTCTCCCTTCTGAAACTCCCATTGTGCCTTTTAGTTTGGGTCAGTTTCTATCATATTGAGATTTTTTTTTTTCCTCTCACACTCTTGCTTCTTGGCTGAATTATTCTGTCTCACTGTGTTTCTTGCACTCATTTTTATTCTTGGTTTATTTTCTCATATTTCTGGAGCACACCCTCTAGCAACTTTTTAAAAGTGTAAATTGAAAGAAAACTTCTTTGTGTATTTAATGACTAAAAATGTTCTTAGTCTGACTCCATGCTTCATTAATATTTGGGTGTTAAAGTGTTATCTCATATTTATTTTTACATAAATCATACCTGGCACAGAGGTGATTTTCATGAAATAGTGGTGATGACTAATGAGTGTGAGGCCTCTTAACTTGAAGGAAGTGTGAGGCTCTAATTTGGCATGGAAAAAAATCTCCAAGACCCACTGATCACAAATACAAATTCTACTGCATGGGGATTCTTCATGCATTAAATATTAGAATTTTAGATTTAAAAAACTCACTTTTTTCAGAATTTTGGAGTTACTGCACCTATTACCCTTTATCTTTTTTCCTTTTTTTGTACATGTCCTTATTTCCTCTCAAAGATCTTCTAGAATATTGTCATAATTTACAAAGATCTCATATTTTGTAACATGCTTTATTTTTCCCCATTGTATGCTTATTGAGTTCATAAACGTGAAAACTCATATTTTCAATTTCTTAGAGTTTTCTTCATTAACAAAACCGTACTTAAAATTATTTTCTCAGTACATTTGTTCTGGAAATGTTAATTGGTTATAGGCCTTCCTGCATTCATTCTTTGACATTATAAGATATTAAGCAACTCTGTTACATATGCAGGTCTTACCAGTGTATGGAGTTCTGGGTGGTCCATGAGGCATCAAGGTGACCTGTCTATGGAAAAATCTCTTTATGTCAGTATCTAGGGTCTTTTTTGGGATGGTTCAGAACTTCCCAGTAAAAGTTTTCTTCCTGGGGCCTCATACCCCAGGTTCATAGCATTCTGTAAGCTGGAGTTTAGTTTTCCTGGAGTGCCTAATATAGTGGTTATCAGCCATTCCTCCCCAGGCAGATCCCCACATTGACAATTCATCTCATCTACCTTTGGTTGTTTCGGTGTTCCAAATATTAGAACTTAGTCCTTACTGTTTTATTTCCTGCCTGGAAGAAAGAAAAAATGATCTGAATTTTTGCCATTTTATATACAGTCTTTCAACAAGCACATCTGTGATTCCTGGCATGTTCAAGTCCTAATAGGCAAACAAATCACTTTTCTCACTTTTTACCCACCAAAGGAGTTTAAGTTGTAGTTCTTTTGTGCTCTCTACATGTAGTTAACTCAAATCTGTCTCTACTTCTTCCAAAAATACTATTGCAATTACTTTTCCATTAATATCGTTTCCTTTTTCCCTTATATTTTCACACCACCACTGTTGTCATTACCATTTATAAACAATCCAGAAACTTAGATTGCAAGCTTTTCATGTTTACTATGGAATTCCATTCATTATAATAATATATAATGTTCATTATAATAACATAAGAACTATGGTTTATGGTGACATACTGCTTTCTAGAAATATTTATCAACAACTGTCAAAGAGTACTGGTTGCTCTAACTCCAAGCCAAAATTCAAAAAATAAAACCAAATTAAAACAAATATTTTAGACAACATAAGTAGTAGTATCTTATTGTAATTTACATTTCCATCCTGTCTAAAGTATGTGAATATGTGTCTTTAAGTTATTGGACAGTTTTTATTTTTGACTTCTAATGAGCTATGGCTATTTTACTTCAGATGTTTTGACATTTTTGTCATTAGTTTACAAAACTTCTTTATATATTAGGAATATGAACCCTTTGGCATACATTTTTTATAATTGTTTACTTTTTGAGTAGGAATAGTTTTCTTTCCTCCTCCTTTATTCTGAATTCACTGTGCTTGGGTTCTGTTCTAGCATTAATAGACCTTTCTTATGCTCCTTTTTACAGGCAGATCCTTGCAGCAGCCAAAAGAGCTGACCAAGTGGGCCATTTTCTTTGGGTGGGATCAGATAGCTGGGGATCCAAAATAAACCCACTGCACCAGCATGAAGACATCGCAGAAGGAGCCATTACCATCCAGCCCAAGAGAGCAACTGTGGAAGGTGCGTATTTTGTCACCAGAGGTATGTGCTGATGGAATGGTCGATGCTATGTTAGATGGCCAGAGTGCGTGTCTTCCTGAGGGCTTGGTGTGTACACATAAATGCAAGGTAGTTTCCAACTTGCTATGAAATGCAAATGAAGCCATGCACCTGGACTGTTCTTGTAGTTGACATTCCTCTTTCATAGAGGTCATGGTATTTTCATCACAATACCACAATTAGCATATATTCTTTTTTTATTGCTACAAGAGTTTTCTGAGAGGAGAGCATTACCATTAATGAGAAGTGAAATGATAATTTGTCTAAGTGTATGTGTGTGTGTGTGTATGTGTATATGCTGCAATGTTCTCATAGAGAACGTTTTCCCTTTGTAATTTATCCTCTATTTCCTTAGCAAGAAAACCTCAACACTCTTTCCTCTCAAGGTCCCTGCAAGACTCAAGAGGCTTTATAAGCACACCTCCCTTGGCAGGCACTGACATCACCCCTCTTCCCAAGGTCTATTTCTTTCTCACTCTATTTCTTCTTGCCTTCCTAAATTTCTGGCACTTCCTCTTGTTTATTGGGATCCTTCTGCTCTAACAAAACTTATTGATTACAATTTATGTTCTTTAATGTGAAAAGAACATTTATTTCTAAAAGAAGAGTCTGTGTAAAGAATAAGGAACTCCTCTACTGATAACCTGCTTTGTGGTCCTTTTCTGATGGATCAGGTCTCCACAAGTTTCCTAAAACATGCTTTACACATTAAATTGAACACTGTCTTCTCAGTCAGAAGGGATCAAATATTTGAATTTCTTTCAGTTCTCTCTCCTCACCAGTGTAATTAGTTATTCTCCCCAGAAGGTCACATGGTGTGTGTAAGCTTTTTAAAACAAGTCAGGTTGTGGTTCTGTCAATCACCGGTCCCTTTCTATGTTATCTGAAGGAAATAAAGATCCCATGAGTTCTATGTGTTCATCAGAAACCTTTGAATTATTTCATTACCCAATACATGCCCAATGATGATGCCTATCTTATACCACAGTCCAGTGCCTGTGCAGATAGATTGCAAGAATAAGACATTACATTTCAACTATTATCTACAGCTTTTCTCCCAAAAATATGAGTCCATTATATGCCTGGCTTTTTGCCAGGAGTCAAGAAAACAAAAGATGGAGATGCAAATTCTCGCCCTTAGAGCATGTAGTGTTCTATGAAGATGTGATGTATACTTCCACATAGTGGTGATATGGCAGTTGGGGAAGACTCCTTAGAGGGAGTTATACATAAAGTAATGACTGAAAGTTTATCAGGCAAACAAGGAGGAGAAGGACTGCAGGGTGATGGGGACAGAAGAACAAAGGGGCAGACACAGTGGGTAGCTGCCAATAATTCATTCTGCTGCACAGTCCTGTACTCTGGCCATGTTGAATTTATTTCACTTCTTTAAATTTTTCCTGTTTGTAACACCATCTGTGGTCTTTGTACTCCCTCCAAGTGTCAGGTAGTCGCCCCTGTTCTTGCTTTTCTAGCATGCCACCTATCCCGTATGGTTGTCCCCTGTAGTTTACTTACCTCTATGTGAAAATAGTTTGTTCTTTGCCACTGAAGCTCTGGCACTTGATTCTTTGCCTAGAATAAGCAGATAGTCAAACAAGTCTTTAGGTAGTTGAATATCAGGATGAGTAAGGAATCACAAACTGCATAATGGCCTGGGACAAAATATTGCTGAAAAGTAAGCAAAATTGCATTGAGAAGGGTCTTGAAAACTATAATAAAGAAATGGTACTTTATTCTGAAAGCATCTGAGCATGTGTGAGATGTGATCAGAGAAATCTCACTCAGGTGCATGGTAACAGTTGGGTACGTGACAAGGCAAAGCAACAAATGACAAGGTCTCATCTAAAATCCTTTCTTCCAAAGCTCTAGCTAGCACATAAACAGACATGGTGCCCATATTCCATGCTTACTAACCACAGAGGCATGATATTTTAGGGAGTTACTAATTATCTCTACAGATTTATAAATGCTTGAAAGAAAATATTATTTTCATGTACATATATGGATACATAAATTTACAGTCTTACACTAAATAGCACCATGCACTAGCTAAAAGAAAAAATAAAAAACAATGAAATGGAAGACAATATTTGTTTTTTATTAAAAGCAATAGTAGACTGTGATCGAGTAGCAAACATTCATGCAGAGCTTTCCATTCCTACCTAGAGAAAAGTGAAGGTTTCCTTGTGGCCATGGAGAAAATTCTATTGCTTCTGTCTAGCCTCATTGCCATTGTGTCTTGTTACAAAGAGAAGCAAACTTCTTTCATTATCCCACCTGATAGAACATTACGATTAAGGCTATGCATCTGTAGTGCCACTCCCAAGAAAGTGAAAAGAGAAACACATTCAGTCATGCTGAGGCTTCTGACCATTCTATAAAGGCAAGTAGAGGCAAGTAGGATTTCCTGCATACCTAGAGTTTGTTTGGTTTCTCTCTCTCTCTCTCTCATTTTTGATGCTCCCCACAAATGTTCATAATAGATCTCTGTATCTTTGAGCTATACACTCAGATGTAAACAGGAAGAAGATAATTAATAATCTATATCTCTACGCTTTAGGTGCACATTTTGCACTTGTTTTGCCGACATGTGGATTTCTGGCTGACCTTTTCTACATGTGTATAAACACAACAAACTGGTTTTGGCCAAAGTGCTAGCAAGTACACTGCCTCTGTGAAGGTAGCTTTTTATGTACTTTATAGAAAAACAAGCCTCAGTGTTTCTTAGCTATGAGTGTTGTTTCGCCCCCATTTCAATTTAATGGTGAGAAGAACCAAGCCCAGGAAGGGTCAGCTCTGGTCTTGCTGGCTGCCCAATATTCATGACAGATCTGGGGAATGTCTCCAGAACTTGGCTGCTTCCTCTAACATCTGAGCCAAGACACTTCAGTAATTTTATTTCTTCTGTGTTTTCTGATGAGCCAAGGAATCCCTGGCATTTCCCTCACTTGTATATTGGCCCATTAACTAGGATGCTCAATAATTATCTCCAGCCTCCAACAAGTCTTCAGAGCAAAACGTGCCCAAATTGCTTTCTACCCTGCACCCTCCACAATGCTCTGCTTCTCCAGGAGTGTGTTGTCCTGTGTGTGCTCTTCTTAGCAAACAAGTGTCATGGACCATGGTCTCTGCCATGGTCATTATGTTTTGGAAGCTGGAGTAATGAAGAGTAGGTTTGCAAATCTACCTCTAATTGTTGGGGTCATTCCAGTGAGTCTATGGAACGGCTTGTTCCTGAATTAAATGTGCAATACATGAAAGAAAAAAAAAAACCACCCTGTGAATCCAGCAAAAAAAAGGTCAAAGTTTTAAAACAAGGATTTCTTGATTTTTACTCTAGATTAAATGAATTCTTTAATTTCCATAAAACCAGAAGCTCAAAGGTGTGAAGATCTGAACTAAGATTGTTCTGGGCTCTGGTTTAGATTTGCCCTTCTTTACTTCCTTAATTACCTGGAATGTTGCACATATGTTAGAGTTTTGCTTGGTGTTGAGCACTGTGAGAATCTAGGTAAGAATATCATATTAGGATAGTTATTATACAGCATCTTTCCTTAAAAACAACTATGTGAACAACTAAGATGAGAAGGAAATAGAAGGCTAAGAAAGTCAGGGTACAATGTGGCTGAAATCTAAAGATATGAACATATGAAAGCAGGTCCGCAGCTCAAGCCTTCCCCCTATTCTAGATTCCGACTACAAACTCATCCTGGATCATCTCACTGACTGCACTCTACCAGTGTTTCTCATTTCCCTATTTCATATTGATCTGGTGAAAAGAGTTTGCCTCAAGCTCTAGAACAAATCATTAATCTTTTTGTAAGACTCCCTTGCTTCTTCCAGAAATATTTAGTCTACACTGTCTGTCCCACACCAAATTCATTGCCATTTCAGTTCCAGATGTACCACGGACCCCTTCATAGCAAACACTGACAATGCTCATTCTCACACCCAGCAACCACGACTAGAATCTGCAAACATTTTACAACAGGGCACAGGAACTTTGGGTTCTCTGTGCACTCCATCTTTATTTCTGAACCCCTAATGTTTTTACCAGAGAACATAGACTAGAGTGAAGAACATGCAAAAAAAAAAAAAAGACTACATATGTTAATGGGGTTTGGGTTTTCTCTGGTTGGGGAAAACATTCGTCCAAGTGGTGTTTCTCATTGACTTTTATTTTTCTGAAGCCATTTTTAGTAGAGTCTAACTCAGGAGCTTACCAGAGCTTTCCAGGTGGGATTGAACGCTTTCCCTTTTACATCCCTTAGCAGTGCGTTCTTTGCTCACTTGACTTTTCTTCGAATTTGGAGAGATTGCCTGTGTATGGTGGATGTAATGTTTTTCTGAGAAGTTACAAGCACACATAGGGAACACCTGCTTAGACACCCCCCCCAGAAAGTAGAGAGGACAGAGGAGGCTACTTCTGTTTGTCATAGGTGCTCCCATGGGAATGCATTACGTCCACTAATAGAAGGGGAAGAACAACATCTGGGTGCAGAATAACACCATCTTACTTTTAATTTTGCAATGTTTCACGATTATTACCCTGGAGCAAGTGGAAAGAAATGTAATCAGAGAAACCTGCAACCTAGATAACTAAGGAGAGAGGAGTGTAATTGTCAGTTTATATATACCGTCAGTCAGTCCAGGTTGCTCAGGTGGAAATGATTCATACTCTTGGCTTTGTGAACAGGCACAGAGCTGCTGTTAACTGGCCACAAGAAAGACTGTTGCAAAGTTAGCCCGGGTCTGAAGGCAGATTGTGGATATGTCATCCAATCCTTAAATGTTTGGGTTTTCAAGAAAGAGGGAGACTCTCTACCCCATGCCCATCCCAGATTTTGAGCCAAGATGTCTCCTGTCAAAAAGTAGAATAGGTATTCTCTACTGACTTCATGATACTGGCCGCTAATCTTTTTCTAAACAGCAAGTATGTAAACCAACCAGAAACTATTTATTTATTTGGACAGGGCTCT